ACTCTTCCTCCTTTTGGGCAACTTCCCTTCCTCAAGAGATTAAAACTTAAGGAGATGCCAAAAGTAAAATGTCTGGAAAGTAAATTTAATGGGAATGATAAATACCATGCCTTTCCATCGCTACAGTATTTACGTATTGAGAGTTTAGAATCATTAGAGGATTGGTTTGAGGCAGGAGTAGCTGCTGAAGATGGATGTTTGTTTCCTTGCTTAATTGAACTGGAGATATATAACTGCTCGAAGTTGAAAGAGTTGCCCTCTTTGCCTCCTAAGCTCAAGAAATTGCATATATATGACATGGGGTGGAAGACTTTGAATTTTTGTAGCAATTCAAATCCTATTCCCCTTGAAATATTAGAGGTCTTGGACTGTCCTAACATTATATCTCTTCCTCTGGCTGATGAAATAGCAAGGCTTGCAGCACTAAAATACTTGAGAATTAGAAAGTGCCCTAATCTGATCTCTCTGGAAAGATATCGAGAAGTCGAGACCACTAATAATTGCCAGCTCATGCTCGACAATCTTGAGATAAATGATCCATCCGTGTTGCTAATGGAGCCAATGAGAAGTATCGCCTCCTTAAAAACGCTGACTATTAGGGATAATGATGAGGTGGTTTCATTTCCAAATGAGGTGGAGCAGTGGTTTCTGACTGTTAGGTCTTCTCTTTCTTACCTGTTTATTTATAATTTGAAATCCTTACAGTCTCTCCCTTCCACCTTCGAAAGCTTATCTTCACTTCAGTATCTATATATTGGGGACGTTCCTATGCTTCGGGAATTACCGAACCTTCCTCCCTCTTTGGAAAGTCTATATATTTGTAGATTTCATCCAGAGTTAAAGGAGCGCTATGGAGAGGACGGAGGACCCGATCGGCACAAGATTGCTCACATTCCTAATATCCGTTTATATATATATGAAATGTGAAGCATGAATCAGTTTGTATGTACTCAACTATCTCAGCATGAATCAGTTTGTATGTACTCAATTTTATTTATGTATCACTTCATGGTCCTTTTATATACTAGTACAAATACATCTACACATGGTACATATGATCATTAGTATTCTCCATTGCTAAATGAACAATCTTCCTACTTGTTTATCAGAAGAACAT